TCTGAACGAGGAGACAGGACCGGCCAGGCAGTGAAGTGTCTCAGGAACACTTGGAGGTGGTGGCTTGGCTGGCTGGGCCTGAGGTTTGTCACAGTTTCAGGACACCTCTGCATGTTCCTTAACTGTCTCTCCACCGTCCCGTCCTTCTCTGTCCCTGTCTTGCGTGGTATTGGGGTGAACCCTCCATACCTGGCGAGGGTGCAGACTCGTCAGTAACTCACCATCACGGTATCCAAAGCTCCTGTGTGGAGCGTGGTCCTGTTACCTGCCTAGGAGTGTGGGGCGCTGCCCAGGCCCCCTTGGGCCCCCAGAGAGGCAGCACCTTGGTCCGATGTCTGAGTTTTGCAGTCCCGTTGGAGCCTGGCTTGTATTCTCAGAGTTTATGTGCATCTGGGTATTTTCCGTGTAGCCCTGCCTGTGGCTTTCCCAGGTAGCTTCAAGAACTGCCCTGGCTGCCCACCTCTGCCAGAGCTGGCAGGGGGTCTTGCCCGAATTTCCTGGGGCAGTTGTCGGCCTGTGAGGTTTGAGCCTCGCTGTGTCTGAGACATGATAGCACAGTAATGGCCGATCCTGCACTTTGACCTGTACACACATTCCTAAGGTCCAGCCACCTGTGAATTCTTTGATATGAACACCGGTTAATCACTTGTGACACAGAGCGTGAATCCCTTCGTTTCCTGAGGGGTGCCCTCCCCATGTCTGGTTTTGCGGACACCCCCACACCACCTTCCCTTGCACTGAAATCGTACCCGCTCCAGCCTGCCACCATGGGACCGCCTGGAGCAGGTTGAAAGGCTGGAGAAACGTGAGCACGTCCTGCGGACCCAGCGCTTTTGTGCACACACAAAGATACCCCCGCGCCGTTCAGGGCAGCTAAGTGGGGGGGGGGCGACACACGGGAAAGAAAATACCTTTGGGGAGAATGAAAAGGGGCCGGGCCCCAGTGACCACTCCTGGATGGGGAACTGGATCTGCTCGACTTAGTGAAGTGCAGCCCCCTCAGCCCGGCCCCTGTGCTTGGTGGCGCTGTGGGATTCTTCTCAGGTGGCAGCAGGCGTGAGTGTGGTAGTCTGTCCTCGCTGCCTATTCCCACCTGCCCCAGCTGCCTGTGCCGGCCAGAGCTGCACACAGGGAGTGGGGGACCGGCGCCTGCTGGCTGCCACCCGCCCGTGTGTGTCCTGCGTGGTTTGCCTGGCCCGAGTATGGGGGCCTGGCGCTCAGTGCCTTTCCTGCAGGGGTCAGGGGGGTCCTTTGGGCCTGGCCAGTTGCCTCACAAGGCACAGCCAAGAGCCAGGGACAGATGCCAGGGACGCGGATGCCCCGGCTGCACTGGGCCCCCGCATGCTGTGCCCGGCACCCTTCTCACGTGAGACCTGGGGAAAGCTCGGGTACTGCTGCCTTGTCCCCTTCATTCCCACACTGTCCTGTTCTTTTGTGTGTGTCTGTGGCAACTTTAAAAATCTATTAAAGGCCAGGCGTGATGGCTTATGCCTGTGAAGTGGGAGGATCCCTTGAGGCCGGGAGGAGTTCAAGACCAGCTTGAGCAAGAGGGAGACCCTGTCTCTACTGAAAATAGAAAAATGACCCCAGCATGGTGGCAGCTCCAATAGTCCCAGCTACTCAGGAGGCTGAGGCAGGAGGATCACTTGAGCCCAGGAGTTGGAGGTTGCTGTGAGCTATAATGGCACCACTCTACTCTAGCCTGGGTGACAGAGTGAGACTCTATCTTCAAAAATAAAAAATCTATATTAAAAATCTTAGGGAACAGCTTACGGTGTCTTCCTCTTCATCTCCCCTATACCGTTTGTCATCAGTCGCAGACCAGCCAAGCCCCAGAGCACTTCCTCTGGCCGGCTCTGAGTCTCCACATGGGGCCCTGAATTGCTTTCTCTTTAAAAGTCAAGGTGGTGTGATGGCTTACAGTGTAATCCCGGCATTTGGAAAGCCAAAGTGGGAGGACCACTTGAGACCAGGCATTCGGGACTGGCCTAGGCAACATAGCAAGACCCTGTCTGTACAAAGGGGAAAACTTACTAGGGTGACAGCTGCTGCAGCTGCCCGGTCTCTCGTCTGCTGCCTTCCCATCCTCCGTGCCTGCCTTCCAGCTGAGCCTGGCTGTGTCTCCTTTTGACAAAAGCAGATGACCTGGTTTAAATTAAACGTGCCTGCTGGCCTCGTAGGGTCAGGGCCTCTCCCCACAGGCTGCCGGTGTCATTTATCCTACACCTCTTGACCCCTTGTGGGGAACTCTCGCCTGTTACTGCATTGGATCATTCACGCTGCCTTGGCAGGGAGGCTAAATAATGTATTTTGTCTACATTTTAGATAAAATGTTTTATAGGTAAAAATGAGGAAGGATCTTCCTGAAGGTTACCCAGGTACTGAGGGCAAGGAGGCCGGTGAATGGGGGACACCCTCTCAGGAAGGTTTTTGTTCTCATTGAGATGAGATTCACACAACATGAAGTCAAGTTTTAGAGTGGCACTTAGAGTGGCATCAGTGTATTCACAGTGTCGTGACCACTCACTGTACCTGGATCTAAAATGTGTCGTGGCCTCAACAGGAAACCCACACCCACTCGCAGTCACCCCCTGTCCCCTCCCTGGCCCCCGGCCACCGCTGTTATGCTCTGCCCTGGATCGGCCTCTTCTGGACATTTCATACGATGCGTGCTCAGCTCTCTATCCCAGGGTGTTTGGCTCTTTGGCTAAAAGAGCCATTGGTTTTGTCTGAATGCCCAGTGGGAACCGAGCCGTGTGCACTGGGCGACGTCTCAGAGCCACCCTGAATGTCCCATGTGCTCCTTGGAGGCACGGACGCCGTTAGTAAGTGAGGCTCTGGAAACAACCGTGGATTAAATTAGGTTTCTTTGTTTTCCGCCTCCAGTTTTCCTCCTCAAACCTGGCGGCTCTGAGCATTGATTCTGAACGTGGTTCACAGCTGCAGTGGTGTAAACAGTAGCCCAGTCTCACTAGAGCTTCCCGAGTGTAAATGCTGTTTACAGCCTTCCTCCAAAGCCTCACACCCATCTCCAAAAATGTAAATTACAAGCTGCAGAGATAATATGGGGCTCGCACAGCTCAGGGAGGCTCCCCTCTCCCAGGGTTGCACCAGCACTGAGCATCTCTTAATAGGCACTTCCACATGTTTCCGGAAGCGGCTGCTGTCGCGGATCGAGGAAGCCACTCATTCTGTACATACTGTCCTACCTGCGGCTCAACCAAAAGCAAAATCCTCGGGCAAATGGCTTGATGGAGACCAGGTGGCATGGTAGAGCCTCCCTTGGATTTTACCTGAGAAGCATTTGAAGGACGTTCGTGCACCTATGTCGGCATCACCCTAAAAGTCCCTGTAGTGCAGAGGGTGGGCACTCTACTACTAAATCTTTGTCTTGTACACAAAGAAACTGAGGTACAGTGATAGGTCCTATTACTGCTTGGACGAGGCGGAGTGGAAGGCTTAGCTGCAGTGGCTACGTACAGCTGTGCAGTCTGTGCACTGCACAACTCAGAAGGATGTAATGTGGGCATGCAGGGTCCCCTGAGGTTACACAACTTGGCCGTCTGGTGAGTTCTTGGTATTAGAAGGTCCACGTCCTGCCTTGTTTGATCAGATGAGTACTTTGTTTCTGTTGAACACTGAGGATTACTTTTTGAAGGATCTGTGTCGTGTCCTGCTTCCCTATTAAACAGCATCGAGGGTAATTTAATCTTGTTTTTATAGGAACCAATTTCCACATTATTATAAAGAAGCATAAGATTGTATCATGTTAAACTAAGATTGACTCCAAAACTCTCAAGTGGGGCCTTGAGCCCATTCTTTGTGATGCTACTGGGGCTGGGAGAAAAGGTGCCCTTGGAGGCAGGAGGGAGGGACCGTGTGTGTCATGTGCCCAGTGAGGCCATCCTTTGAGTTCTCCTGGTTCAGACCAGCAGAGAGGCAGATCTCACTACTCAGGTCGTGCAGAGGGAAATTCAGTTCCAGGCCCCGCGGGAGCCAGTCTTCTCTCACACTGTGTTTCTGGAACTTTGAGACCCCCCCCCCCAGGTATGTGATTGGCGTGAATGACATAGAGTCATGCCAATGCTCCCGTGGGAAGGACGTCCCAGGGATAGATGGACAGATGTGCTCAGCGTCCTGGGAGGCGCCAGCCAGGAGCGGAGACCCCTGACGGTGCCCCCAACAAGTGGGCCCATCCCTGGACAGCAAACCACCACCTGCTGGGGAAGGGAGGGCTTCACTCAAGGCCACTGATTCCAGAGGGAACTCGGTAACCAGCCTTGGGACAGGCTTCTGGCCTGGACAGGGACCATCACGCTTTATGGGGGAAGGTGTGGGCCATCCCAGGCTGGTGTCCACAGGCTAGAGACACGTGGTGGGGTAGGCAGGAGCCTAGGCAGGAGCAGCCACAGGAACAGGGAAGGAGGGGTCCTTCTGGACACCGTGGCTGCCAGGCCTTAGTGGGCACGTGGCACAGGCACTCCCCCTTCCCCAGGAACACATTTTCTCCCAGGTGTTGACAGGTTAACAAAGTCTCACAAACTGAGTGGCTTAAACCTGTGTTTCCCAACCCCAGGCCATAGACCAGTGCTGGTCAGTGGCCTGTTAGGAACTGGGCCACACCGCAGGAGGGGAGTGGGGAGTGCTATGTGCCTCCACTGTCGCGTGGCCTTAGTCTCCATGCCGCTGCACCTGTCTTCCTAAGGACGCCAGTCATCTTGGGTCAGGGCCCACCTTGTCCAATACGACTTCATTTTAACTAATTACCTCTGCAAGGCCCCTTTTCCAAATAAGGTCACATTGCCAGGTTCCGGGAAGGACGTGAATTTGTGGGGGCGCCATGCAGCCCAGCACGACTGCTAGGGAACTCAGCTGAGACAAGGCCTTGGGCTCTTGGCCCCTTGTCCACAAACTGGCCTCTGGTGTGCGGGGCAGGTGTCCCAGCCGAGGGCGGGCAGTGGGGGAAACGCTGACACCGCTTGTGCTTTCTCTTCCCACAGCCCAACATCGGCCGCCTGGGCCTGCCCCATGGGCCATCTGGGGAGAAGGTGGCCGTGGTGACAGTGGACGACTGTGACACAGCCATGGCCGTGCGCTTTGGAAGCTATGTGGGGAACTACAGCTGTGCTGCCCAGGGCACTCAGAGCGGCTCCAAGAAGTGAGCACCCTGAGGGGAGGCGCTGGGCACCTGTGCCCCCACATGTGGGGTCATCTTACCATGCGGCCTTCCAGCACCAGGCCCCCAACACACACACTCTAGGATACACACTCTAGTGTCCTGGAGACCCTAATCCAGGCTGGAGTCAGACTCCCTCCCCGTGGTTGGGGTACCTTCTTCCGACACATTAGAACCTTCCAGAATAAAACCCCTTTTATTTGTCAAAGAGTGTGCAGGCCACCCTGAGGGTTGTGCCAGCTGGCTAGCAGACCCACTGCTTCCCCAGGAGGACCTTACAGGCCAGAGGACAGCATGGCGCTGCACATCCTGTTAGGGGTGGTTTGGCCAGGGGTGGGCAGGGCTCAGTGAGTGACACCAGTCAACCCAAACCTCCAGCGTGTCAGGACATAAGGTGACTGTGGGGGAACCGAGGCACAGAGAGGCCTGTGAAGCCGGCAGCAGCACCAGGAGCAGGGGCGCCTTTCACTCTGGCTTCTGCCCCCCCTCCCCCGACTCCTGCTGCTCTGTCATCCAAGTGTTCTTAGCAGCAGAGGCTTCACTGACATAACCGCAGAGCCCATGGCTGCCACCAGGATGTCAGAGTCCCAGAGGATGGCTTTACTCCCCCAGGTCCCTGGATCTCACAGGGCCTCTGCTCCTGGGGGGTGTCCCCAACCTGCCGGAGGACTTCCCGGTGCACAACCGGCAATTCGTGGGCTGCATGCGGAACCTGTCGGTGGACGGCAAACACGTGGACATGGCTGGATTCATCGCCAACAATGGCACCAGGGCAGGTACGGACGGCTGTTGGTGTGGGCACAGCAGACACGTGGTGGAGTGTCACTCACCTATCCCCAAGGAGCTATTCTCCTAGAAACGGATGTGCCCACTGTGGGCCCCACCCAGGAGTGGAGCCAGAGTCTGGGCTCCCAGAGCCGCTGCTCTTGAGCCACCAGGGCTGCTACTTGAGGTGGCCGTGACACTGCTGGCCTGGGGCGCAGATAATCCCAGGGTCTTGCATGTGTCACCAGACGCCCAGGCCCACAGCTATGGTGTCCTGGAGGCCTAGAGTGTCCTGCTGTGGACCCCGTGCTCAGTGCCTGCCTGGGCCCTGTGTTCTTACTACTGCCAGAGCTCTCGGGTGGGCAGGTGGGACAGCGGTATGGGAGGCCGCAATGGCGGCATGGGAGGCCAGGACAGCTCGTCCACTTGGGGCTCTGCCCACACTGTGTGTTTCTAGGCTGTGCTGCTCAGAGGAACTTCTGTGATGGGACCTGGTGTCAGAACGGGGGTACCTGTGTCAGCAGGTGGAACATGTACCTGTGTGAGTGTCCACTGCAGTTTGGCGGGAAGAACTGTGAGCAAGGTGAGCGCCTGGTGGCCTTGGAGGCTTGGCTCTTGGCTGTTGTGTATCTGGGACCACTTGTGACTTATGAGGGGCTTCACCTCTGGGGTCAACAGTCTCTGGCTATGTGCTGTGTGTGCTGCTGACCCTCTTTCCTCTTCAAGACGCTGCCCTGTGAAGACCCCTGCTCCTATCCTGGTCTCCCCAGGACAGGTGGGCTGGGTCGATAGGGTTCACCCAGACATCCCTGCTAGCTGAGTCCGGGGCCATCGAGCTGCTCCCCCACTTTCCATCCAGCCTGAAAGCACCCTGGCTGTGCCTGGCTGAGTCTGGGTGCCCGCAGCATTTCACCACACTTCCCTGGAAGGAGGTGCATGCACCAGAGTGGGCCTCTGCAGGGCCCAGCCCTGCTGGACCCAGAGAATTTGGGAGTTTTAGATTAGCCCTCACGTTAATGTATAAAAGGCCCAGGACCCCGTCCCCAGGCCCACCCCCTCCCCTGAAACCCAGAAAGATTCTCAGATGCCCTCCTGAGTCTGGAGGTGCCTGAGGTCCCTGGGCCTGTGCCCGCAGCCATGCCCCATCCCCAGCGCTTCAGTGGCGAGAGCATCGTGTCCTGGAGCGACCTGGACATCACCATCTCTGTGCCCTGGTACCTGGGGCTCATGTTCCGGACCCGGAAGGGGGATGCGGTGCTGATGGAGGCCACAGCCGGCCTGTCCTCCAGGCTTCATCTGCAAGTAAGTCAGCCCCCTCAGGCTCCGTCTGCAGGCAAGTCAGCCCCCCGCCACCTGGGCACTGGGGGGGCAGGCAAGGGCCCAGGTGTGGGTCCCAGGCACCGGGGCTTCCTTAAGGAAGGGTCTCCAGTGAGACAAAGAGAAACCTGAGTGCTTTTCCAAGTAGTAGCATGATCATGGCTGGAGAAGAGCAGGGGTGACGGTGGCAGCTACACAGTCCCGCGGGGCTCTTTCCAGCATTCTGTCCTCCTGGAGATGAGCAGCCGAGTGTCCGCCAAGCTGCATCTCAGAGGGTGGTTCTGGCCCCCTTGCACCTGAGGATTTGGCCTTTTTCTGAAGGGGTGTGTGGGCACCTCACTGCTGAGGGCGGTGATGAGCCTGTCAGTTCCGATGGCGGCTGGGTGGCGGTGGGCACCACATGCTGACGTCGTGGCTTCCTGAACCCTCAGGACCCTCTGTGTGGCCTTCCTCGCTGGTTCTCTGTGTCTCTTTGGTCTTTACTGTTCTGTTTATTCGGAGCATTCAGTAAGAGTTCTTAAAGCTTCTAAAAGATTATTTGAATGCACTCTAATTCTCTGTTTCTTTGTGTCACAAATAACTTCCACTCACAGAATCTTCCAAGCTCCATAGACATTTCATTTGAGAAACAAAATTTCCTTTAATTTGCAAGAAAGGTCTGGTTTGTTTTCCTTGGGCCGAAGGTCAGGACAGGGGATGCCCACCTTGCCCTGGCCTGGGGTTTGGAGACTTCACTGTGGGCACCAGGCCCGTGGCTCACCCTCCTGCCCACATGTCTGTGGGAACAGTGGGGATAGATGAGCTTCCCCTGTGATCTATGACCCTGCCCAATCAGGGCCAAGCTCTGGAAACACACCTGGCAATTCTCCCTCCTATAAGGGTTGCCTTATGACTCTACTTGGCCCTAGCTCACCCCACTCTCAGGAGCAGCCCGTGGGGAGCGTCCCATGAGATTCGTGCTTCATGTCAGTGTGAAGGGATTCTCTGACTGAGTTGTTCCTTTCTTTCTTCCAGGCCTTTTTCCAAGTACGTATATGCGTGTATGTGTGTGCGCATGTGTGCGTGTATGTGTCTGTATGTGCGAGTGTGTGTGCACAGCTCTTTTGTATATGTGCATGTCTGCATGCATGCATGTGTGTGTGCACTTGTCCCTGTGTGCACGCGTGCATGCACATCTGTGTGCGTATCTGTGACGGGACCTGGGTGCACAGGGTCTCTGAGTGGCCCTGACTTCCTTCACCCCGGTCATTCATTATCTCCAGCCGAGTAAGCCTGAGGCCCCTCCCTTCCTGCCTCCCTCCCTTAGTTCATCCACCTCTGTTGCCTCGGGGCCAGGCCACACTGGAAGATGCACCCTGTCATCCCAGGATGGCTGGAACAGGTGTGGCAGCTCCTCCAGGTGGGAAATTCCTCCCAGAGCTGGCTCCAGGCCTCTCTGCTGTCCCTGCGGGTCCTCAGGGAGCTAGTCTTATTTTTGTTACTCCCTTGGGCCTTGAGACTTCTCTTTTTGCCCAGTGGAGAGTCGACTTAATTCCCCCAGGGAAAGCCAAGGCACAGACACCCTGCACCCCCCCAGCCTTCTGTCCACTTGTTGCCCAGTTCCTGGGATGACCACAGACTCCCTCTCCTGTAGCCCCTGTGGATAGTCCCTCTACAAACACTTGTGTAGCAGGATTGATGTAAGTAGGGGGAGGGACAGAGAGTGGGTACCCAGCACCTCCTCACACCACAAGCTCCTTGTTGGAGGCCAGCAGGGGCAGGACCCGAAGTGCCCCTAACGTGGGCTGGTACAGACCCCTCAACAGACCAGTGAGCACAAGGCCCGAGCAGTGAGGATAGGTGGGGGGGCTGAGAACCTCAACAGGACCCTCCTTCTGTCCTTCCCCACATCCCACCAGGAGCATTTCCCAGCACATTGTGTTTAGATTGTGTGGACGGTGCAGTGTGTGCATCAGAGGTAATCATGGCTGTCCCTGTGTTTCCCTTGTTAAGCTATAATTTCATAAGTTTACCAGGCAGCCCAGAAGCTCACTCTGGGCCATGACTTGGCACACACAGTTCTGCTCAGGGATAGTGTTGTTCTCTGTTGTTGTTTTACTGTTGGTACAAATTAAATTAGCTGTTTTCAATTCAGATGATGAACTGGAGCTCACAGGTTGTCATTTGGCAGTGGGGTCTCTGTGGAAATAAGGCACTGTGCTTTCAGTAGGAATGGCAGGGAAAGCCACACCCCTCACGTCATCCGGGTGATCACCTTCTGGGCAGCTCATCTGAATAGGAAGGGTTTCCACCAGGGACTATAGCCAGCTCTCCCTGTGGAGTGGTGGAGTGGTGGCCTTGAGGGGATCCTACAGACCCCAGCGGCACCCAGAGATCCCCCAAGGCAGTTTCCAGAGGCTGGTTGGGGAGCAGCTAGAAAAGTTCTAGGTGGTTTCTACTTTTGACATATTCAGCCTGCAGGCCCCTGACTTGTGTGGTGCAGCCGTTTGGGTGTTCTGGAAGGTCCCCACAGTGGGCCTGGCCGACAAAAGCTATATTATCACCAAGCAGCCCAAGCAATTTGGATAATTGCTTTCAGGCGCCCTGAATCCACCTGCATTGTCAAGCTGGGATCACTGGTTATTGTTGAATGCCTCCCTTAAATCCACCTCAGGTGGGAGGCAGTTACTGCCCGCAGTCTGAGCTCATTCTACAGACACCACCTTTGTTGTAGACATAATGTCATCGGTAGTGTTGATCTGCTTGCTTTGGGGTTTTGTGAGCAAGGGCAGTGAGAGAGAATGGCAAGGGGAATTAATGAGCTGACTTCAATGTCTGTAGACCAAAAGGAGACAAAACATAAAAAAGTGAAAAGTTGCCTTCTTAAAATGACCATCAGCAGTGGGCAGCACCTGTGGCTCAAAGGAGTGGGGCCCTGGCCCCATATGCCTAGAGGTGGTGGGTTCAAACCCAGTCCCAGCCAAAAACTGCCAAAAAAAAAAAAAATGACCATCAGCAGTGACCAGAAGTCAAAATACATTTTCAGTTACATTACATTTATAGTCAGTTAAAAAATATTTCCTGTCTTCCATCATTTATTCTTACACCTTTTCCTACACCTGTGGGTGTTTAGGAGTGTGTTTCTGAGTCACTACGGGAGTGTGTTCCATTAAATCCTGTTGGTGTTGTTTCTAGCACACGCGTGTGTGAGTGAGCACACACTGATGGTTTCAGAGCTTTGAAGTGCGTCCAGACTTGCCTTACAGCCCAGGTCTAGTTGGTTTGGGGAATGTTCCGTGTGTCCTTATAAAGAATGTACTCTGTGGTTATCACGCACAGTGTTCTGTATATGTCAAGTAGGTAAATTGTGTTAAATATTATGTTCCAATATTCTACATATATCACTGATTTTTTCTTTTTCTTTTTCTTTTTTTTTGTCTGTTTGTCATTTTAGTCACCAAGGGCAGTGAATTACAAATTTCCAGCCTTGACTGTAGATTTATCTATTACTTCTTCCAGTAATCTGTTGATTTTTGCTTTATAGATTTTAAGCATATGTTATTAGGTGCATATGAATTGAGGATTGTTTTATCTTTCCAGCAAACTGACTCTGTTATCATGGCAAGAGTCTTCTTTATCTCCAGTAGCGATTTTTGTCTGAAAGTCCACTCTGGCTCATATCCCCATAGTGGAGGCAGCTTCCTGCTGGTTGCACTTAAGTGACACATTTCCTCCTATTTTACACATTGTCTGTTTGCTCTATTGGTTGCATCCTTGGCTGTGCAGTAGCTTTTTTTTTTTTTTTTTTTAATGGGCCCCAGGACCAATGATCACCAGCTGCCCAAGTACCAAAAAATTACGCTTCCAAAATCTCTTGATGTCGATTCCACATAAAGAGCAGTTGAGTTGCCCCACGTGTGCCACTCATGACAAAAGGCCTTTTTGTGCAGTAGCTTTTTTATTGACCAGGTCCCACTTGTTTATTTTGGCTGTTGCTATGATTGCTTCTGAGATCTTCTTCATAAAATATTTCCCGAGCCTGTTGTCTATAAGAGTTTCCAGCATTTTCTTCTAGAATTCTTATAGTTTCATGCCTTAGGTTTAAGTCGTTTATCCACTGTAAATTAATTTTTACAAGTGATGAGAAGTGTGGTCCTGTTTCCAGTCTTTCACATGTGGCTTTTCAGTTTTCCTAGCACAGTATATTGAATAAGGATTCCTTTCCCCAGTGTATGTTTTTACCTGCTTTGTCAAAACTCAGATGACAATATGAGGGTGGATCCATCTCAGGGTTCTCTGTTCTGATCCATAGGTCTGTGCCTCTGTTCTAGTACCAGAACCATGCTGCTCTGGTTACTGTAGCCCAGGGGTCCTCAAACTTTTTAAACAGGAGGCCAGTTCACTGTCCCTCAGACCGTTGGAGGGCTGGACTGCGGGCCCCAGGACGAGTCGGCTGGTAAGCAGGACAGGCAGCAGTGGCAAAAACACCCGGCAGGCCAAATAAATGTCCTCGGGGGTCTGCATGTTGCTGTAGGCCATAGTTTGAGGACACCTGCAGGCCATAGTTTGAGGACGCCTGCTGTAGCCTGTAGTATAGCTTGAAGCCTGGTAAGGTGACATCTCTGACTTTGCTCTTATTATATAAAGTTGCATTGGCTATTCAGGGTCTTTTCTGGTCTGATTTTTTCTTACGTATGTTTAAATATGCCAGACACTTATCTCATGAACTGTAACATTTACATTCAAAAACAAGTGTCTAATGGTCACCTTCAAGTCTCTTTCAAGTTCCGTGGTTCTCATTGTTATTTTCAAGTCTGTCTGATGATTCTATTGTCTGGATTCCCTGTGGGTCAGTTTCCATTGTTCTTGCTTCTCTTGATTTTCAAGCATACTGTCTTGTCTCCTCATATAATTGGTCATATTTTATTACATGCTAGTCATGTATTGAAAAATTAGAAGGAATCTGAAACTAGGATGGGGGTGTCACTATCCTGCGTGCTTGTTTCTGGCAGCCAGCTAGGAGCACCTGCAGTCCTAGAACTCTTCAGAGCGGTCCTGCTCTGAGAGATGATTCAAAGAAGCTGGGCCTTCAGTCCCATAGGAACTATTCTTGTTTCCTCTTTGTGTATAGCCCTTCAGGGTCCCATCCCAAAGCCAAGAGACTGAAGATGCCATCCCCAGTGGGCCTTGAGCGCCGGTTCCCCCTGGTCCCATGAGCCTAGACAGCTGTGCTGAGTTTTTCAGCTTTACCTGTGTCTTCTAGAACCAGCTGAGAGCCGTGGGGGAGAACAAGTCCCAGGCTCACTTTTGCAGATTCCCAATTTCTCCCTAGTCATGACTCTGAAAGTTGGTTTTTTTGCTCCAGTACCTTTGAACAGATTTTTTTTGCTATTTTATCTTGTTTTTGTAGGTTTTTTTTCAAGAGGGTTGGTGCAATTGCCCAGTCCTTCTAAAACTCTGGCATTGCCCGTGGCTACATTGTTTTAAAATATGAGTGTTGTAGGCCAATTGCAATGCTGATTTTTGTTTTTCCATGCATATAATGAAACATGGAGGATTGAATCTTGTCTCATAAAGTGTAAGGTTTACATCCCAAAATAAGACCTTGGTAGTCACCTGGACCAGTGGCGGTTCCCCAGACCTAAAAGTCTCGCAGGGTTTGTTTTTGGTCCTTTCCTTTGACCTTTGTCAAAAACTTGACCCTTTTGCCATAGAATAAGGCATCCAATTCTGATGAGTGTTAAAGGCAACAGCAACAAACTACAACTCTAACTTTTGGGACCCTCTTTGGTCCAGTGACATGTTGTGAGTCTGTCTGGGTGGCCTTCTTATCTACATGATCACAGAGAGTTTCCTTGTCAGCGCACTAGTTGATAGGTATGGCTCTCCCTGTCCTTCAGATCCTGAACAACTACATCCAGTTTGAGGTGTCCCATGGTCCCTCTGACGTGGCGTCCATGAGGCTGTCCAGGTCACGTGTGACGGATGGGGAGTGGCATCACCTGCTGATAGAGCTAAAGAGTGCCAAGGAGGGCAAGGACATCAAGTACCTGGCAGTCATGACCCTGGATTATGGGATGGACCAGGTGAGCTGGCACCTGCACCCTCTTCTCCAGCCCGTGGGGAAGCGGGATGACTCCTCCAAGTGCAGAGACCTTGGGGATTTGAAGAAGCACTTCCCAGGACCCTGGGTTTGGGGCTTATGTAACCCTGTGCTGAGGCCACTGGCGTCTGTGTCTCATCCCCAGCCAGGTGGGCAGCTCCTGCAGGCAGGAACTGGACTTCGTCCCTCAGTGTTTCCTACCGTGGTGGCTTTGCCGTGGGTTCTTTTAGCAAAGCCAGCTTGAGTATGAGCTGTACACTCAGCACTGCGCCTTCCGGGTAGAGACGCATGCAAGGGCCTGTGCCCTCCAAGTGAGAAGCCGGGTAGCAGTGAGAGTCAGGGCCCGAGAGGGCGGTGGGACCCTGGGGATGCCTCTGTCCAGGCAGCCATGCTCAGAGCACCTGCTGAGATAAACAGGTTTCTGAGGTTTGCAGCCAGGTAACATGAGGCATTTTCATGAGACGCCCACACACTTAAGGGACTACTCAGGATTCCCAAGAGCACTTGGACCTGGGGCTCATCTTACATGACAGTTCTGAGAATAAGTGGCCGCTGTGTCCCAGACACCATCTTTTTGGAACTGTGTATCAGTTGGCACGCTCCAAGGTTCCCACAGTGTTAGGGGCGGCTGTGCATGGGTCTCCACTCACTGCCATCTTCCTGAGCTCCTTGTCACAAATGGCTCTTTAGCAATGCGCCCACAATGGAGGGGGAAGGGCCACCAGTGCTTCCCTGCTGACCACCTTGCTGGGCTGGGATGTGGACGCTGGTCCTCTGACCTGGTCTCAGTCCTCACTCATCTGTCCAGGCCCTCCTCGAAAGCCTGAATGTACTCAGGCTCTGGGGAGTTTGTTGTAGCCTTCTGGCCACGGTCTTCCCAGCCGGAAGTTGTTTTCAGAATGGCAACGTCGCCCCTGCTCCCCTCTCCTCTCCTCTGCACAGAACATGGTACAGATCGGGAACCAGCTTCCTGGGTTGAAGATGAAGAGCGTCGTGGTCGGGGGCCTGTCTGAGGACAAGGTCTCCGTGCGCCGTGGGTTCCGTGGCTGCATGCAGGTAGGGTGGGGCGGGGTGCCCGCAGGCTCCCCAGGCCAGTGCCACAGTGCTGCTGTCCCCCCTTGTTAGCTTGCCTCACGGGCATCCCCACCTTGACAACTCTGCTTCCTCCTTGGCCTTCCCTCCTCCCAGTTACTCTGAGCACCAGTGGCTCCCCTGCCCCCTGTGCCTCCACCAGCTCTGTGCACTCACCCAGATGGGCCCTGTGCCATCCCCTGACCAGGTGTGTAGCAGCTGAGTGAGCTGCTGATGGGAGTAGCTCTGCTCATGCCCCATGGCAGGGAAATACCTCCCACAGCCCCACAGCCCCACCCCATAAGATCCCTGAAACCTCCCACCATCAGGGTACGGGGCGAGAGGAGCAGCCTAGCTCTCCCAGCACTGGAGGTAAATGGGGGCCCTCACAAGGAACCAGAGAAAACTGGGGTACCCTTAGCTGGGGTACTCTTAGAACTAGAGCCCCCAACGCCCCAAAAGAGTCCAGCTGCCCTCTGTTTAACACCAGGGGGTGAGAATGGGGGAGACGGCCACCAACATCGCCACCCTGAACATGAACGATGCCCTCAAAGTCAGGGTGAAGGACGGCTGTGAGGTGGAGGACCCGTGTGCCTCAAGCCCCTGCCCTCAGCACAGCCGCTGCCACGATGCCTGGGACAGCTACTCCTGCGTGTGTGACAGAGGTGCCCCCCTGCAGTGCCCTTCAGGAGTGGGGGCTGACTGTGATGGTTAAAGCATGGGGGCGGGTGCTGCTGGGTCTGACACCAGCTTCCCGGCCCACCCTGCCCTGCGCCCTGATTTGTGGGTGGGCCCTCTGCTCGAAGCTGGGTCTGTGCCTCTTCCTCCCTGGGGCCCAAGGAATGCCGCAGACTTTACCCTCTTGGCACATGATGAAATCAGCAATAATTAATAAAACACCTTTCAAAAATTATGTATTTAGGGGTCACCTCTGAATTTTTGAGGTGCTAAGATCCTCGGCTGGTGCCTGTCCCCCATGCATTCTGGGGTGCCCTCCTCTCTGCATTGCCCATCTTGCCCCATTTGTGTTTGTGTCCCCTGCGATGGGGGCAGGTCACTCGTGGTGTCTAACAGAGGGTCTCGCAGATTCTGGCTGGAGGTAATTCTGGGCCTGTCCCCACAGGGTACTTCGGAAGAAAGTGTGTGGACGCGTGTCACCTGAACCCCTGTGAGCACGTGGCAACCTGTGTGCGCGCCCCTGGCTCCCCGAGGGGGTACGAGTGCGAGTGCGCGCCCAGCCGGTATGGACGCTACTGCGAGAACAGGTGAGGCCGCCGGCCGCCACTTCTCTGCCGCCTTTGTCTTCTCGCTGTTGTTTTTACCCAAAGCTGTACAAGCTTTGGAAAACAGGGCTGTACGTTTTTCAGTTTGGTGGGAAGTAAATGAAGACTAAGTCCGGCATCTCAAGCCAACCTGGTCGTTCCCAGACAGTGCAGCATGACTCCCACTGCCCTCAGGTCCTCTGGGCCCAAGGCAGACAGGCACAGTGAGCTGCAGGCGGACAGGGTCGCGCCCAGAGACTGCTCAGTGTGTGATCCTGCCCTCTGGGCTCTGGAATCACTGCACAGGTCTCAGGTGGCTGCAGTTGGGTCACTTTCTCCAAGGTGAAGCCACTTGGTTCTTTACACACCTACACCCCGAGACTCAGGCCCCTTTGGAGGAGTGCAGTCCTGGCCCCCCTGTCCTCAGCGACTGTTGTGGTGCAGGAGCCCACGTGGGAGGGACCCTGGCTCTGCTTTGTCCACTGAGCCCAGACCATGAGCTGGAGTCCTGGCTGGGGCCCTGCCAGCAGGAAGCACCCTGTGCCCTCAGGCTGATGACCTCAGGGAAGGTGTGGGAGAGATCACACTCGGATGTCAGCAAGATGTGATTCAAGGGAGCATTTAGAGGAGGTGCCGTGGAGTGCAGAAGAAGGTGGGGGCCAGGAAGGCTGAAGGGGGAGGGTATTCCAGGGGGTAAAACCAACAGGGCAGAGCTGGAGAGGAGCAATGGGATGAGGCTGATTAGAAGAACTCAGCGGTCTGTCTGGGGAGGCAGAGAGGTGGGGGTGGGGAGACGGGAGGAGCAGAGTTCAGCTTTGTGGAGACCATGGGGACCCAGCAGAGAAGCACCAGGATCAGGTTTGGATCTCAGAGGTACCCCAGCCGCTGCATGGAGTGCTGGCAGCATAGGCAGAAGCTCGGTCCATGCCCCTGGGGTCCGGCATTGCAGACACCCCAGGGCCGAGGAGGGAGAGAGAAGACTCTGGGTTCCCCATGGCATGTGCAGATCCATAAGCACCAGCCAGGGGCTCCTGGGGCTTAGGAACTCTGGCCTTGTTTTTATGTCCCTGATTAGCACACAGTTGGTACTTAATAATTGCTTGCTAGAAGTGAGTAGAGGAGATTGGCCGCTAGTGGAGGGAAGTCCACTGGCCAGGATGGGCAAGGCAGGGGCCTGTGGGACACTTTGAGGTGGGGCTGCTGCAGGTAAGGGGACTCGCAGGTGACTTCTTAGGTGTGATCCTTGTCAGGAACAGTGGGTGCCCCGTGCATGGTGGTGGCCATCTCCTCAGATGGTGGGCCTGGCCTTATTGCTGAGATATCGCTTGTCTCCAGTGTCCAGTGGTCTCTGTGGGAGAGGCGTGTGGAGGCAGTGCTGGGTCTGACACAATTCTGAATTTACGTATCTGGGATGTGGCCACACACGGCTCACATGTGGTGTATGTCATGCCCTTTGGGCAGGCTGAGAAGCTGCTGGGGAAGGAGGCCAGTGTCCAGCCCTCGGGATGTGGGGAGGGGAGGTGCTGCAGAATGCCCTGTTCAGAAACTTCCTGGAGGGCATGTCATTCTGGCCCTCACCCTGGGTTCCTGGGAGAAGGTGCCCAGGGCAGCTGGGCTGGGCTGGGAAAGGCCAGCCAGGCAGTGGGGAGTTTTCTTGGTATTGTGCAGACACCTGGGTGCACAGCAAATGTTTGCAGTTGCTGCCCCACTGTGGCATGCATGACTCTGTCATGCTGAACCCAGGTGCTTGGTGAGGTTGGGATCCAGTAGGGGAGAAACTGAGGCATGAAGGAGGCACCCACAGCAGGGCACAGTGAGCTTCCCGGGCAGCCAGCTCCAGGCCTCAACAGGAAGCAGTTATGTGACCTTCCTTTTGCTGTCTCATTTTTCCCAACAGAATCGACCTTCCATGCCCCAAAGGCTGGTGGGGGAACCCTGTCTGTGGACCCTGCCACTGTGCTGTCAGCAAAGGTTTTGACCCCGACTGCAATAAGACCAATGGCCAGTGCCAGTGCAAGGTGAGGCCCAGCCCCGGGGGATGGGCAGAAGTGTGTCCCCACCCTTCCAAACTGTGAGCCTGCATGTGCACATACACCTGCGTACAGGTGCACACAAGCCTCTCTGTACACATTCACGGCCACACACCTGCACACTCTTGTCCACCCACACACACACTTAGCTGCCCATACACACGTATCAAACGTGGCTGTAGGCCTCTTGCTACTCGCCTGTGCATTGTGAATACACTGTGCTGCTTCTCATGTGTGAACCGGTTTAAACACACCCCACCCCACCCTCTAACGCCCGCAGTGAGAATCCTTCCAGGCTCCCCAGCCCAACCCCCAGTGCTAAGAGGAAGCCTCGCAGCTTCTGTGTGGGCAGGCTCATCTTGGGCACCAGCCCTGTTCTCCAGGTTGGCATTTTCCTGATCTTCCACCAAGCCAGCACTCCATGACAACAGAAATTTGGGAGAAATATAAAAAGATGCTGCGTGGCTCAGTAAGCCTTGGCCCCGGCCCCTTCACGGTCTCGGTTCTCACATTTATGCAGCAGCGGGCTCACCATCTTGCGGTTTCTGAATTTGCACAGGTGTCTACCTGGAAATTATAGAACACCCTGTCCCTTTGACCTCTCAAAATACACCATCACCATCTTCTTCAAAATCATGGTGTCCATAACTGTATCACTAAGCCACAGTAACATTAAACCCAAACAGAAGGTCTAATGGTAACAGGAGCCTCGGGGAAGGATGTGAGCTGTCCAGGGAGGGCTGACCCAAGGAGGGCAGTTGTCCTTACCAGCTACCATAGTGCTGCCTCTGAGACATCAGCAATGTCTGGGGACTCCACAGTGCTTCCAACAACAAAACGGGACCTGTGTCCTAAGACACTCAAAGGAGAGACTGAAAGAGCATCTTGAGTCAGGGCCAGGCTGCCCACCACGTGTAGCATTGGTGGGCGGCTGGGGGAGGAACCCTGGGGAATATATTCAGAGAAAACTTGCCTGTGAGTTTTTTTTGTCAGCAAAACTTGTAGAAAATGCAAAAAAGAACCTAAGAGCTCCCCGTCCCTCCCCTCATCTCCCAGCATGACCGCCCACCACTATTCACACACAGTTGGAAACTGCACCCGACCCTAGAGCCTGAAATTTGCTCTTGAGTCTGCCCAGAACAGCCCACCCCATTTTCCAGAGGGTCCTGGGGAGGCTGAGTGATTGGTCAAGACGGTGGGCCAGTAACAGGCAAGAGTGGGCACGACCCCAGGACTTTAAACCCAGATCACACGCCATAGAGCACCCCCCAACCTGTCCAGTGGGGACATTTGGGGGCTTTGCATTTTCTGTAGCTCGGCAAAGAAAAGGCTGTATGGGTCGTCCTCAGACTTACCTGTTTGAATCTCTCGCTCTGTTTAGAAGGAGTAGCAGGTGCCCATCCCTAGGGTTTGCTAAGAGCTGTGGGGGGAGGGTGCTTCCCAGAACTGCTCTACCCTGCTGGGTGCTGGGTGCTGGGTCCTGAGACAGCCCGCTTGGGCAGGGCACATGGCGGAGGGTGCCCCTGAGGTGAGTCAGGCAGCGCCATGTGGCTCAGGAAGTGCCACGCCAGCCAGGGTTCTCGCTGGTGTTAAGGTCACATGCACGGCTTTGCTCTTGCAGGAGAATTACTACAAGCCCCCCTCCCAGGATGCCTGCCTGCCCTGCGACTGCTTCTCCCACGGCTCCCACAGCCGTGCTTGTGACATGGACACTGGGCAGTGTGCCTGCAAGCCTGGTGTCATCGGCCGCCAGTGTAACCGCTGTGACAACCCCTTTGCTGAGGTCACCACGCTTGGCTGTGAAGGTTTGAGTTTTCCTTTGAGCTCTTTAGGGTCATACCACAGGGACAGGCCGCTGGGCTGGTGTGTGAGTGTGGATGCGTGTGCATGTGTGTGTGCACATGTGCGTTTGTGAGGGTGTGTGCATGTGTGCACATGTGCGTGGGCATGTGTGCATGAGTGTGTCATGTGGGGGGGTGTGTGCATGTGCATGTGTGTTGGTGTGGGGGGGGCATGAGTGTGTGCATGTGGGGGGGTGCGTGCGTGTGGACGTGTGCGCATGCAGGTGTTGGGGCGTCTCAGGCTCTTGTGTTCTGTGTTCTCTGGATCTTTTGGAAACCTGGCCCTGTGTGATGGGTGGTGTCAGAGCTTGGGTCACCCCTTCCCCAGTTCTGGTGTCAGTGGGGGTGGGGCCGGGGCTCTAGCAGAGGCTCGGGCAGGTAGCTGTCATGCACATGGTCATGGCCAAGCTGTGCTGACCACCCTCTCCCCTCCACCCAGTGATCTACAGTGGGTGTCCCAGAGCATTCGAGGCCGGCATCTGGTGGCCGCAGACCAAGTTTGGACAGCCCGCCGCAGTGCCATGTCCCAAGGGATCGGTGGGTAAGTGGCCGTGGCCTGTGGCACCCATGGGGAAGGAAATTGGACTGAGGCATGTGTCCTTGCCAAAGAGCCCAAACATCAGAACTCACAGAATGTTCCACGATGGGGAAAAGCCTTTAAGCAAAATGCTGGGGAGAAATAAGAACTTGTCTTCAGTAGTAAATGGCGAAGCACATGAGGGCATAACGGGAACGTGAATAGCAGAGTCAGCGATGCCTGTGGCTCCGGCCTGGCCCTTTCTTGGCCGAGTCACTTCACTGTTCACAGCACTGGTCTCTCTGTGAGATGGGGACAGTGACTTTGTCCACACTGTAACAGGCATCCGGGGAGTTCAGTGGGGCAGGGCTCAGCCCTGATGCAGATTCCTGGCACGTGTGGAAATTGTCGGTCCTCAGCAGATGATTCAGTTGATTTCTTTTCTTGTGGATTTGCTCGGATGTCCGCTCGTATTTTCTGGGCACCCCAAGGCCTGATTGTAAAGGTCAGAACAGCTTGGACACAGCCCCAGTGGGAAGAAGGGCCCTCGAGCTGGCTCCTGGGCCTGGGACTGCTCTCTGCCACGCCACGCTCTGGGTTTAAGTACATCCAAATTGTGTTGAATAAACAAGCCTTGAGCAGCAGTTTGAACTTCAGGTTCTATGCATTCATCCTTGTTCCCTAGGAAATGCAGTTCGACACTGCAGCGGCGAGAAGGGCTGGCTGCCCCCCGAGCTCTTCAACTGCACCACCGTCTCCTTCGTGGACCTCAGAGTCATGGTAGGCTGAGCCTTGGGGTTCATGTTAGGTGCGGGGGTAGGGAGGTGTGTGTAAAATGTGCATGTGTGTAAACGTGTGCGTGTAAACATGTGAGAGGCTGTGTTGGGCCAGGCTCCGGGCTAGGGAGCATGGGGCACCCGGGGTGGCGCAGGTACCAGCCTGACGGGTTCAGAGGCCTAGAACCAGGCCTCTTGTTTCAGTGACTCGGGAGTGTCGCCCGCTGAGCCGGCCACGCAGGCACATGGTTCTCTCTCCAGAGGACCCAGCTCTGGATCTTTGGTCTGAAATGCAGGCTCTCCGTGTTCCACTCCACTTGTGCTCTGATCCTGCCCCCTTTCTGTGGCACTTTGTCCTCGTGTCTTCCACTTGGTATCATTTTCTAAGTGCTCTTTGATCCAGCAAACCCTCCATGTCTATGCTGAAAGTGTCAGCCAAAGTTCATCTCTGGGCTTTTGGATTTTTTAAGTTTCTTCCTGACAAGGAAATGTCTACCAGAAGGTAGCAAATTTCTGAATAACGGGAGGGACCCACGGCAACTGCAGCAGGTTTGCAAACATCACGACTGCTTCCCCCATTGTAGGACGACAAGCTGAGCCGCAACAAGACGCAGCTGGACGGCGCCGGGGCGCTGCGGCTGGTGAGGGCTCTGCGGAACGCCACGCGGCACAGCGACACGCTCTTCGGCACTGATGTGCGCACGGCCTACAGGCTGCTGGCCCAGGTCCTGCAGCACGAGAGCCAGCAGCAGGGCTTTGACCTGGCGGCCACCCAGGATGCCAACTTCCACGAGGTAGGAGGACGGCAGCCCCACTGAGGGAAGCCCATGGGCTCATGGGGAGGGGGCAGGGTCAGGCATTCCGTAGGGTTAGGATTGCTGTGTCCGAAGCCTGGAGGAAGTTCACTTTTCAGCTGTTAGCCTGATCCGAGTGTCGAGGAGTGTTTGGGCACAGAAACCCATGGTCACAGCCCCACTGATGATTGCTACGGACCTTGCCACATGCCAGCTAATGTTCTGAAGGGCTTCACCTGACTCAGCCATGCCTCCCTGACTCATAGCCAATGGTGTAGTACTGTTACCCAGCCATCTGACAGGGAAGGAAACCAAGGCACAGAGAGTGAGGGATCGGCCCAGCAGTGGGCTCCAGGGTCTCTGCTCCTGCCCACGACTCTGAGGTCCTGCGTTCAGGTGTCCACACCTCTGTTAAGACCCTCGTTTTCTGTCTTTGTTTATGTGATGGTCCTCCAAACTGTGTGTGTGGACTGAGTGCCAGCAGCCTGTTCATCCTGGTGTTTGGAAGCTGCTCTGGCAGGTGTCACTCAGCTCCCTCATCACCTCCCTCTTGGCTGCCTCACCTGTGCAGTGTCCCCAGAGGACCCTCCATCTATGCAGGGCCCCCATGGGACCTTCTCATCCCAGGGCCTTCGCAGGGGCCTCTCACCTAGTCTTGAATCCCAGCCTGGGAGTTTGGGCCAGTAGAGTTTGTTCCATTTTTGAGTCTTGAGTCTTTGCAAACAGAAGTGCTGGGTTGTGGCCCCTGAGCCCAGCCTTGTGCCTCTGACCTGCCCAGTGTCCCACAGGTACATCAGGGAGTGTTACACGCTTGGTAACCGAGCACCACATGTCCGTGGTGGACTCACTGCACAGACCTCTGTGGCGGTTCCCACCACCCGGCTTTCCTGGTCACGTTCAGAGTCCTGATGTGATCGGGACACCTCTGCACATCCTCTCCCTCAGCGTCTTGGGTGAACGTGGGTTTCCCCTGCAGGGCTCCCTCCTGACAGTCCTCAACCTGTTTGAGATTAAGTCACCCACAGCCGCCTCTCACCATTCAGGCCTGGCTCTGTCTTGGCGAGCAAAGGCTGCACAGCCCTGGCTTGTCCCCATCCCACCTGGCAGGCCCCATCAGTACAAGGCTGAGTTCTGTCCGTCTGTCTGACCAGGATGTGGTCCACTCGGGCAGTGCCCTCCTGGCTCCGGCCACCAGGGCTGCGTGGGAGCAGATCCATCGGAGCGAGGGGGGCGCCGCGCATCTGCTGAGGCACTTCGAGGCCTACTTCAGCAATGTAGCACGGAATGTGCAGAGGACCTACCTGAGGCCTTTTGTCATCGTCACTACCAACATGAGTAAGGGCTGAGCTGGCAGCGGGGCAGGTGGGAGCTCGGTACCATCTGGGGTATGTGACCACAGGAGCTGGCCCAACTCGGCCCCTCCCAGCCATTATCTTAGAAAAGGGTGTCAGTGGCTATAGCCTCTGTGTTCCTGTCTGTAAAAGGGGACTTCGGGCAGATGACCCACAGTGACACATACCTGACCTGTGGGGTCAGCAGGCCTTCTAAACTCTAAGAGGGCGGGTGCAGGGGGCCCCTTGCAGCCCAGCCAGGTTTGCTGCAGACACAGGTGGGCACAGAGAGAGAGGGAGGGGGATTCTGTTCCACGGGAGCAGTCACCATCCAGATGACTCCCATGGTGTCAACATGGCAAGGGTTTAAAAGCCCCGAGATCAGCATGTGACTAAAGGAACTGTCCCCAGTCCTTGCTGTTGACATCTTCAACAAGTTCAATTTCACGGGAGCCAGAGTGCCTCGCTTTGAGAACATTCGAGACGAATTCCCCAGAGAGCTGGAGTCTTCCATCTCCTTCCCGGCCGACTTCTTCAAACCACCTGAGAAAAAAGGTAAGGCTGCTGGAGACTCACTGCTGCCCCGGGACACCGTGGCCCTGTGAGGAGGGCGGGGACGAGCCTCTGAGCGCGTCCCTGGAGGGTGAGCAAGACGCATGCCACATCACAGAGCCAGATCCGTGAGCGAGAGCCCCCCACCCCCAGATTCAGGGCAGCCAGGCAGTGGCGGGGTCAGGTCCACTTGGCAGCGGTGGTCGTTTCTTACCAGTGTCCAGGCACAGAGGGAACGTCCCTGATTTGAAAAGAGGAAGTCTGTCGAGCTATAAAATCTAAACGTGCTAAGCAGTGAGTGATACTCAGAGGAAATGCTCACTGGAGCTCATGTCTGGTGCGAGTGTTCCAAAAAAATCTGAAACCTGGAACACTTCTGGTCCCAAGGATTTCGAGTAAGGGACACTCACATGCAGTTTGTATTGCTGCAGATAAGAGGGTCACCTCTGGTGTGCCGTGAGGGCTGCTTCTCCAGGTAGGAAGACGACAATCTTAGGGTTTCCCCACTTGCCCCCACAGAAAAACCAAACCAGGACGCCATCTGCACACAAATGCTCCACCCTGAGCTGGGATGATGACGCCAGGCAGTTTAAACATTTTGAACTTTCTTAAAGCGTTTTCTTAGAGTCCCATACCAATTACTAAAAAAGGTCTCAAAATGAGAGGGACACGGAAAGGTGAACACTTTGTAAGGGAGAGCCGAGAACTGGAACCTTTTTAGTGAATTAGTTCTGTCAGGTGTTTGTGATCATCTCAAGTGTCTTAAATAAACACGGTCGGAAGGGTTGTGCCCGACGCAGGACTGAGCTGGACGCCGACCCCCTCTCACAAACCGGGTGGGATTTCACGTTGATCTGCGTTTTCGGTGTCGTGTATACACGTGCTTTGCTCTCGGCTGTCCACAGATGTGACTGTGCATGTGTGTCCACATGTCCTTTGTGTCTGCCGAGAATAGAGCTCTGTCTGCTTCTGAAAAGTCGGCTGGGTTGTCCTTTCCTGGGCCCTGTGAGTGTCACGGAAGGACATGGGGGGACTTCACTGACATTAGAACAGGGTGTCCGACCTTTTGTCTTCTGTGGGCCACCCTGGATGAAGAAGAGTTGTCTTGGGCCCCACATTAAACACACAAACACTAACGAAAGCTGAGGAGCGAACGTCAGGTCCGTGCAGGATTTTGTGATTCCACCACCACAGATAAGCAAACAGGCCTCCCATAATAATCCTAATTATGTGACAGCCCCTCAGAGAGTCTATTCAAATCATCAAGCAGGTCCCAAGTTTGCAGTCACTCACATAGAAAATGTGTGTATCTAAGTAATAAAACATCCTTTGGGGCTATTTGTTATTATAAAAGCAAAAGAAAAGTGGGCAAGGTAAAACTCATGGGAAATTTGACGTTGTTTTGAGAAACTAAGGCATCGGTATCTGGTTCCATGGAAGTAGTTGCAATTCTCAGTGAGTTCTCAAGGTGCTCATCAGATATTTGGGTTCTAATTTTACTCTTAATGGGCTTCATTCTTGAAAATAGTTGCCCACAGATGTAGGTGCTGCCAAGGTGATGACATGAATAAGGTGTGATCGTGAAGTGAGGGAATTTGCCTCTGGGAAGGTAGGACCTATAAAGTCCTGTAAAGAGATGGGATCAAATTTTTCTTCAAGTTGAATGTCAGATTGCAGCTCGGTGCATTCCATTTGAAAATTGGCAGGTAACACGTCTATGTCTGCTGAAAATGGAATCACAAATGCACCAAAAGATTGATTATTTTCCCAGAAATATTGAAATCTGTTTTCAAATTCTTGCATCAAATTGAAAAGCAAGGCTGCATATTTTTTTGCCGTTCCCACCGATGGAATTGCCGGATTGTGTACAAATACTGTGTTCAGCTTTCTGAGGGCTGCGCGCTGTCCTCCACAAGACATCTGTTGCTTTGTGAGAAGCATTCCCTGGAGTTGGTGGTGGCTGAGTGGGACACAGGTGTTCCGGGGCCTGAGTCCACACTCTGCTCATGTTGCAGAAAGCCCCGTGGTGAGGCTGGCCGGCCAGAGGTCCCCGCCAGCAACTGTGGGCCCAGAGCCCAGCACCAAGGGGGAGGCCCATTTCACCCGGCGGCGGAGACACCCGGATGACCCCAGCCAATTTGCCGTCGCCCTGGTCGTCATTTATAGGACCTTGGGGAGGCTCTTGCCAGAGCGCTATGACCCCGACCGCCGAAGTCTCAGGTAGGGCCTGGCACAGAGGACAGAGGAGGGCCCATGATCACCCATAGGTGTCTCCAGAAGTGCTGCACTGGCACCCTGGCACCAGGACAGACCACAGTCCTGTGGTGTGGAGGCTGTGGGTCTGCCCTGTGGGCACTGGTCCCTTTACCTGTGCTCATGGTGGTACTTCTGCCCCTCCACCCAGCACACACCCATCCTGTCTCCAGCCTGACCCAGGTGTCAGCATTAAGGACTACTTGGCTAATGCTGGCTGGAAAAATGAACGTCTTACAAGGAGCAGGGTAGCCCTGGCTAGAGCAGATGCACCCAAGGGCTCTGCTTCTCAGACCCTTGGTCTGAGACACCTCCCAAGCTCTGCAACCTCTGCCTTCCTGGTGTTCGTGGGCACTGGGTGATATCCCACCACGAGCTGTAATTATGTAACTAAGTTTCTTCTACTGGACATTTTAGCTGTTCCCTGTGCCTCTGCTGTTGTGTGCCGGGGGGCTGTGACATCACACCTGTGCCCTCTCTTTATTGTTAAATCTCTGGAGTCCCTCTTTGGTCCAGGGGTGACACAGCCACTTGTCCCCATGAGTGCCCATCAGCAACAAAACCTGCTCTGATCTGGAAGAAGCAGCAAGGCCCTTGGGGTCTCTGCTCCAGGACTGATTTGATCACTGCTAGAAAATCCTCTACCCGATGTCCCCATGGTGTTGCGGCAGGATCTAAGGGGACGTCAAGTCACGTGTACCCCTGTGCTCTGGCCTCTCATTGCAGGCTGCCCAACCGACCGGTCATCAACACGCCAGTGGTGAGTGCCGTGGTGTACAGCGAGGGCACCCCACTCCCAAGCACCCTGGAGAGGCCTGTCCTGGTGGCGCTCACCCTGCTGGAGACGGAGGAGCGCACCAAGCCCGTCTGTGTGTTCTGGAACCACTCCCTGGCGTAAGTGCAGCTCCATGCATGGGGCAGCCACCTCTGCTGCCGGAGCCCTGAGTTTCCAAGTGAGAGTGCTCTGCTCAGAGAGTGCTCCCAGGCCCTGAGGGCTCCGTTGGTCGAATGTCCTTTGGGGACAATCTGTTGTGGGCCATTGCATCCCTTCCAGCCCCTCTGGGGTCATCAGAGCCTCCTCCGTGTCTGCGCGCCCGCGCGCGCGCGCACACACACACACACACACACGTCACTCCGGATTCAGAGCCATGCCATGGTTTTCCTTCACCTAAAAGCCCAAGTGGTTTTGCCTTTTATCTCTTCTGTTTCTTAGCGGCAGGCTGTACATGAGGCATGGGCCTGAGTTCCCTGCGGCCCTGGGCTTGCTTTTGCTCAGCTGGTTTGTTTTCTTTTTCTTGCTTTCTATTTTTTTTTTAAGAGTCTCACTTTATTGCCCTCGGTAGAGTGCTGTGGTGTCACAGCTCACAGCAACCTCCAACTCCTGGGCTTAGGCAATCCTCTTGCCTCAGCCTCCCAGGTAGCTGGGACTATAGGCGTCCACCACAACATCTGGCTATTTTTTTGTTGCAGTTTGGCCGGGGCCAGGTTTGAACCCACCACCCTCAGTATGTGGGGCCAGCGCCCTACCCACTGAGCCACAGGTGCCCCTCAGCTGGTTTGTTTTCACTTTCGCTTCTCTGGAAGATAGTAGACTTGGGCCAAGGGTGGAAACAGCCCTCTAAGCCAGGACGGATGGATATAATACAGTGTCCCATGGAATACAGTGTCTCCTGGACAGGAGCTCGCAGGCTGATGGCTTAGTCTTTTAGTCTTTTAGACTAAGAAAGGGGAGACATCACCAAGGATACAGGGATGTGGATCCTATGCCCCCACCCCACCCCTGTCTTTCCACTCTTGGAGCCAGGACCAAGTGTCCACGGCTGGGAGTTCCTATGAGATAGGATCATTCCAAATGGTGACACAGCCCGAGGGTGCTCCTTCTTCTCGGTTTCTGTGCTTTCCAAGGTCTAGTTAATGAATAACCAGCTCATTGCTGGGTATAATAGGCACTCGGCTCACAAAAGACAGAATAAAGGCTGCCCTTACAGGGTGAGGGGCGTGAGGGCGGCCGGCTGTCTGTCCACTGGTTTGAATCCTGGCAATTAGCTGTGGCTCTAATGACCTGCTCTCTGCTTTATGTCATACCTTTTATCCTATTTCACAGATTAGCAAACTAAGGATCTGAGAGGTTACGGGATTTTCCCAGCGTCAAGGAGGGCAGGGCTGGCTCTGAGGCCAAGACACACCTGGGAACAGCTTGTTATTTGGGCTCCCCTTGGGTGAAACAAGAGTAATAACTGGGTCCGGCCTTCCAGGCAGTCCCATAAAACGTGTAATCGGAAGATGAAAGTGGGGCCAAACGTGAGCAAAGCAGCTCTTTCCACCCTCGGGTGACGTTTCTGACGGCAGGGCATGTGGAGGCCAAGCAACACTCCCATTTGAGTCTCAGATGACAGCACGCTTCAGAGGGCCCTTCAGTGAGGGCTGTGGTCCTCGCCACAGGCGCAGGGAGGTGGCTAGGAAGGCAGGCAGGACAATCTGGGGGGTGTTGGGCTTTAACACATGGTACCTGCTCTTTGTGTCAACCCGGCAGGGTCAGGACGGCCCCGGAACCCCAGGGCCGGGCACAGGCTGCCCCTGGGCAGGGTCCTTGGTGGATGAAGCCATCTCACTCCTCCCACTGTCCCCTCTTTTCTCTGCAGCATCGGAGGGACCGGAGGGTGGTCAGCCAAGGGCTGTGAGCTCCTGTCCAGGAACCGGACCCATGTGCTGTGTCAGTGCAGCCACATGGCCAGCGTCGCGGTGCTCATGGACGTCTCCAGGCGCGAGGTGGGCTCCCTCCCGGGGACACCCTTCCCACTGACAAGTGGGTTCTTTGCTTTAGAGACAGGGAATTAGGCCCAGCCCCCATCCTGCCCCCTCATGAAGCTGTGTCTTTGCACAAACCAAATCCACAATATTCCAGGACTGCCACCCAGAACCTGCGAGGGTTCCACAGCAAAGCTGGGTTAGAAGAGTTTTCCAAGGGCATTAACCTGAGATGGCAGAGCCCAACCTGGACTCGGAAGGACCTGCAGTGTGCCCTCCTAGCAGAGCAGATCTGTGATGTGGCTGCTTTTAGCCATTGGGAAAAAGAGATGGCTGTGTGGCAGCCAGGCCACCTCTCCCAGAGCACACACAGAAGGCAGAGAGGCCCTGTCGGGAGCACTCTCGTGATGAGGCAGCTGACACTGGGCCTCTGGCATGGCAAGCGGCCTGGGAGTGTGAGCTGGCCATAGTGGCCCTGCAAATGAGTTGGGCAGTGGGGACTGTCCGAGCCCTGTTACCTAGACAGGAAGGTGGTGCAAGGCAGCCCAATGTGATGTGTGGAAACAGGGGTGTCCTGGAGCCAGAAGGAGGCGACCTCACCTGGCACTTCTCCCTCATCCTGAGATGTGTCTTGGGAAGCCAAGCTGTTGTCCCTTCCAAGGGCCTCAGTTTACCACCCTTGAGAAGTGTACAGTAAGGGACCTGGAAATAAAGAAAAAAGCCAATATAACGTGGGCTATCGTAGACGTGAGCTGCTGGCTCGGGGAGTGGATTTGCTCACAGTAATCACAGGGCGCTTTGAGAGGGACAGGTGAGATGGGTGGGATGGATCCTTGCAAGGTGCTCCTGCCGAGGGACGTGTGTGAACGATTGTGTCTGTCCCAGTAATTGGGACATAAAGTGGCCCTCCCTCTTGCCGTCCCTCCATCCCACCGTCCTGCTAGTTCACTGTGCAGCCACCGGCGAGTTACATTTAACCTCGTCAAGCCTCGGTTTTGTCATCTGCGAGGTGGGATGACAGCCACACTTTCCTCGTGGTTTTGATCCACGGCACACCCTTGGCAGGTCTGGCAGGGTCCCTGCCACATCATCTGTATTCACTAAAAAGTCCTTAGTCGCGTTGTATTATTAAACTCACCATTTTCTTTGTCGAGAGGGGCAATCTTTAGCCAGAGGAATAAATCTAAGATCATATTACACGAAGCACAGGCGATGCCCCGGGGCCCTGCAGCCCTACATGCTTGCCTTGTGCAGAAACTGAGAGTCTGTTTGGAAGGTCCCTCCAGCTCTGAGATTGGGGTAGGGCACAGCTTCTCTGGACAACAGCATTTGTATGTGAGTTTAGTTTGTTGTTGTTGTTTTTAATGTGGCAAAATATACATAAGATTCGAGTGTAGATTTCAGGGCTGTTGAGGACACTTAGGTTGTCGCAACCTCCCATCTCTGGAACTTGTTCATCATCCCATATTATTCCTTTGATTTTTGCTCCTGTTTTGTGCCACCCGCAAACCACATGCTGGTCCCACTGGTTCCCGCCGGGTCTTTCATAGTCTCGTGATCTGTCATCTAGCTGGTCTGTATGTGCAAGAACTCACCTGCTTTCCTGCCTTGAACCCACCCACCCACCCACAGCACGGGGAGGTCCTGCCGGTAAAGGCCGTCACGTACACTGCCGTGGCCTTGTCGCTAGCGGCCTTGCTGGTGGCCTTTGTGCTCCTGGCACTGGTCCGCACGCTGCGCTCCAACCTGCACAGCATCCACAGGAACCTGATCGCGGCGCTGTTCCTCACCCAGCTGGTCTTTGTGCTCGGGATTCACCAGACGGAGAACCAGGTGAGGCCCTGCCATTCCTGCCCCACCACAGGGCATGGCGTCGCTCAGGCTCCTGTTGTCAGGTGGTTTGCTCTTCTAGCGAGTCCTCTCTCGCCTTTTGGGGCTCCCCTGCAATTTCAGCTCTGCGGGTGCACAGAGGAGGCTGTAGGAAGCTCGGACTCCGGGGCCAAGTCGGGTGGTTGCTTTGTCCCTGGTCAGGACCCTCCCTCCAGAGGCACCTGTGGGAGCCAAGTCAGAAGGACTGGGGGCTCCGTACCTGCCTCACCCTCCTGATCTACCCTAGTGATTCCTTAAGAAATTATGGCCATTTGTCAAATCCCAGAGGACTTCAGGCTTTCTCCACCTGACGGTGCTGGCGTCTCTGCCCTCTTACATTTCTGGTGTTTTCTGCTGTTCCAGAGAGGGATGGACATCTAGAGCAGGCCTGGGGTTTGGGGAGGGGGATTCTGGTGAAGGTTCTGGGTTGAGGAAGAGGAAAGAGCTCACAGAAAGGGGTAAGCAGGGGAGAGGAACTAATGGGAGCAGGAGGGGAGAAGGTAGGTAGATGTCTGTGTGAGCTGCTTAATCAAATATGGAGACTCTTGGGGTGTTAGCTCTGGCTGATGGGTTGCCTTTTGGGCTCCTAGGGTGTTGTGTGGGGCTCTGGGGTGTCTTGGGAGCTCATGGAGTCTGGCCACATATGTAGTTTTCTCTGGACAGACAGTGATGACAGGCCAGCTTTTCCTAGAGCAGTGGTTCTCGACCTTCCTAATGCTGCGGCCCTTTAATACCTGTTGCGACCCACAGGTTGAGAACCACTGTCCTAGACCCTTGGTTCCCTCTTTTAAACTTCTGAGCCCCCCAACGTGGGGAAGGAAAGACAGACTCCTGAATTGCTAAAGCAAGTGAGGGGACACCTGCCAGCAAGTGCCCTCATCTCTGTCCGGGGAGTTGTCACCAATGAGGAAGGCGAGCCTGCCAGGGAGTAATGTGGCTTGTTTTTTTAAGGACAAATTTCTGATGAGAGAAATGGAAAAAAAAGAATAAAGTCACAAATAACTAATATCGGGGATGCAGAAAGAAGGCACAGTACTTCGAACAACTTTATGCTGGTACATTTGAAACTTTGATAACATGGATACGTTTCCCAGAAAAATATCAACTTTTTGTTAAACCTAATTCACAGTGTAGAGTGTGCACTGGTGTGTAAAAAACCCTGCCTAGGTTCAGTGTATTTTAGGAATGCAAGGATAATTTAATGTTATAAAAAAAATCTATAAATGTCATTCACCTCACTAATCCATTTGAGGAAAGTTACAGTTTTTCTCAATGAATGTAGAAAATAATGTTGATACATTTTATGCCCACTGATGTCTGCAAGGAAAGAAAGAGCAACCTTGTAACAGACTAGGAATGGGGCAACTCTTTAGTAAAGGGTGTCCACAGAAAACCCACCCTCCACACAATGGTGACGGGAAAACAGTAGAAGCATCCTCTAAAATCAGCGCCCAGCTGTCCCACTCTGTCCATCAGTATAGTAGCGGTGACCCAAGCCAGCACAAAAGACAAAAATAAAGGCATAGAGACTGGAAAGAAAGAGAAAAGCCGTCATTATTGATTAGATTGTATAGGTGACATGAAGGATCTTACAGAGACGTCTAAAACAACTCCATACACCTCATGGGAAACAATTGGAGTTTAGCAGGGTAGCTGGTTAGACTTCGAGGTATAATGTTTATATAAGGCAGCCACTGCACGCCAGCCCCCTGAGCATAATGACCATGTAACTTACAGGGGGTGGCCAAGGGCTGGGAGGACAGAGCTGAGCCAGCAGAGCAGCCCAGTGAGGCACTGGTCCTGGGAGGTGTCGTCCAGGCCCAGAAGTGAGGCCAGGGGCAGCCATGAGGGAGAGGAGAGGCAGGACCCCCAGCAGGGAGGGGCTAGGCCGACTTTCAGGTCTCTGGAAAAGTGAAGGTGCCACGTGCTGAAAGGGAAACTGAAGCTGAGGCTGGACGCAACCACTGTGGGGCTGGGAGAGTGCAGAGCTGCGGGTGGGGGCTGCTGCACGGGGAGGTGGGGACTGTGTCTGGGGACAGGCTCAGGAAAGGAAGCAGAATAGAGAGGCCGCGGGGGAATTTTCTGGGGGAGGCAACCAGAGCCCCCTCAGGAGAGAGGGGGGCACACCTACCTGGAAGGCGGAAGGGTGGGGACGCACAGGGAGTGCAGGGCATGTTGGAGAAAGAGTTCTCGCACCGATGGTAGAATAGTTTTAAAGAAAGAAAGTTTGTTTTACTTTCTGGAGAAAGAAAGAGGAGGAGAGAGAAGAGGGGGGCGGCCACAGCTCGTGGATGATGGAGGGAACGAGCTGGGCCCCGAGACTCTGCCGAGTGTTTTGAAAGTGTGAAGGTGGCTGCCCTCCCTCTGCTTCAGCAGGTGAGGGTAGAAGCGGCTGCCGGAGCTCCATATTTCTCTTGCCCTCTTCTCTCCGTGCGGCCCTGAAATGTGGCCCTGGCAGGGACTGAGAGGAGTGGGGGCTCCTCAAGGCTGCGGAGCTCAGAGATGATGGGCGAAGCCACAGACGTTTACTAAAAAGAGCGGTTGTGCTGAGTTTCCTTCTCGTACTGTCTGTGGGGTGGTTGAGCTTTCTGTTACGTAGGTATTAGCAGGGCTGCCTCTCAGAAAGCTGACCTTCAGGAGCTTCCGCTGATGAGCTTGGTGGGTTCTTGGAAGTTGCAAGTAGAGTAGCAGGCCTGTCCCGCAGAGGATAGTCCCCAGAATGCTCATAGGATGAACAGGGACCAAATGGCCTCACTGCCCTCCAGGTGCTCCCCACGGAGGCCTGCAGAAGCCCAGTGGGGCACCTGCCCCTACCAGCACCTCAGGCGCGAGGCCAAGTGATTCTTTCAAAACCCTTGACTGTGCCTTTGAGTGGTCTGAATAGGGGGCAGTGGAGTCGGCTGGGGCCCCTCCCTGCAACTGAGCTCGTGGTGTGAAAGCAGAGAGTGCTTTGCAGGCAGCCACACACGACCCGCGACCGAGCTCCAAGACTGCGCAGCTCTGGGGGCTGGGCAGCATGTCTGGATGTTATGGTTTTTGGTAAACTCACAATCCTATCCCTGGGCGAGGGTTTCCACCTCTGGGCACTGGCAGGCTGAGATGACTTCCTGCATCAGCGTTCCGTCTTGTTGTGTTTCTGGAAAGGTACGACATTCAGCTCAGAAGTCTGCGTGTGTCTGGCCCCACTAAACCAAAGGCATCGCAGCTCTAGTACTTTTTCTTGAAAAGTGGTTTTGTGGGTTTGCTTTCCACCTTGCTTAGGGCCATAAGCCAAACAGCCTTCTTCCTGTCTTCCTTTTCCCATTCCCTGTCTGGAGACTGGGGTGTTAGGTGTGGGCTCACAGCCCCAGGCAGCCCATCCCCCCATCACACACACACCAGATCCGGGGCCTTAGGTGAAGGGTGTGTCTCCAGTCACCGCAGAAGACTGTTTTCTTCTGCTTTGGTTCCCCTTTGTAAGGTTTTCGCAAACTTTTTTTTTTTGCAGTTTTTGGCCTGGGCCGGGTTTGAACCCACCACCTCTGGCATATGGGGCCGGCACCTTACTCCTTTGAGCCACAGGTGCCACCCAGTATTTTCAAACATTATTGCTAACACGGTCACTCGCCCCCGTCAGGGCTCTCTCATTTCTGGAGAGTACCTGGCCCATGGGGTTGACATGGCCACAGTGGGCACCTAAGGTGTTACCCTCGCACCTGGCTCTGTCCACTTCTCCTTGGGGTACACTGTCCTGGTACTTCAACAGAGTGGTGTCCCGCCTAGGGTTGAGGTGGCACCTCCCTCTGCTCCTACCCTCTGTGTCCGTGGGGAGGACCCTGGACCCCTGGACAGTTGGTTTGATGGTTTGGCTGTCATGGCCTGGACAGCATGGGTCAGGGTGAGGCCCTATGGGTCAGGCTGAGGCCTGGAGGGAGCTCTCGCCATGTCCCAGCTGGCCAGTGCTGGGAGGGAGGATAGTCTCCCAGAGAGTCCTGGTAAAGCTGCTCAGGGCCACACCTTCAAGTCCAGCACTGGAGCATATCGTGCTCGATTGACATTAATGACCTCCAGGGCCAGACTCCCTGTGACCCCACACTGTCCCCAGCCCTCCCCACACTGCCCTGTCCCACCTGCACACAGCCTTCTGTGTCCAGGCAGACAGGCTCACCCAGCCGGCTCCTCGCTGCAGGGTGTGTACTGTCCCTTTGCCGTCCTGTGGACCCCGATTTTGTCTTCCTGGCACTCGTAGCCCTCCCAGCTGAGGGTGGCCATGTAGAGCACATGCTCCCATCCCTGTTCTTTCTGTGATGGACAACACGAGGCTCCGTGAAGCTCGTGGGGATTTAACAGCGTGGTCACTGTGTGGAGCCTCTCCCGCCCCTGGCCATACCCACTGGGCCACGGGACGCTGTGTGGGGGTCACAGTGGTGGTCACAGGCTGAGATCACAGTCCCAGGTCATCCGCCCAAGCAGGCCCACCTCTACAGTATTTTCTTTAAACCTTAAATAGATTACCGACATTTAAAGTGTCGGAACCATCACACAAAACCCATTTCCAGCTTCTCTGAGAATGGATACTGTGCCTCCACCACCCCAGCCACGGTGGTTCTGGCCTGGGCCCTGGCTGAACTCAGCCCTCTCCTGCAGTTCCCCCGACCCACCCAGCCACGTGGCTCTGGCCCGGGCCCTGGCTGAGCTCAGCCCTCTCCTGCAGTTCCTGTGCACTGTGGTCGCCATCCTCCTGCACTACGTCTACATGAGCGCCTTCGCCTGGGCGCTGGTGGAGGGCCTGCACGTGTACCGCATGCTGACCGAGGCCCGCAACATCGACACCGGGCCCATGAGGTTCTACTACGTCGTGGGCTGGGGCATCTCCGCCATCGTCACAGGTGAGGACGCACTCAGCAGGGTGGCCTGTTCAGCAGTACAGACTTCCCACAGGCCACAGCTCAGCGGGGGTCCACATGTCACTGTCCCCATGGGAGCCACACACAGTGCAGGCAGGGAGGGCCCCCTGCCCCCTCCCTCTGCGCCCAGCTCCAAGGCCTGTCTGCACACACAGGTGATGGCTCAGTTGGCCTCTGGGGGACACATAGCTCCTCAAGAGCTGGCAGCTCCCTGTCTGTCCCCTGGGGAGTGAGGGGTCAGAGGCAGAGGGGCAGGGTCCCCTCCACACTCCTCTCACCGGAAACCAGAGAGTCAGGTCTTGCTTCCCATTGAGAAAGGGCCTCACTTCCACTCTTTAGAGGAAGAGCTGAAGCTCCTTCTGAGTCACTCCAGATTCTAGGGGTCTGGACACTAAGCCTGAGGCCAGAGGCACTGGGGGAGAGGTGTTGCCACCCAGGAGCCAGTTGCTGACAAGTGTCCTGAGCCCTGATGTGGCTCTCCCTCCACTCCCAGGGACCTTGAGTTCCCGTTTTCACGTTCACCCAGAGCCTAGAGGTGGGGGGGGGGGACAGGGCAGGCCCGGTAGACATCTGTGGCCGCCCCCAACAGCAGCCCCTGGACTCAGTGCTCGTCATAGGACATTGTCAAGATGAAACACATTAGAAAATGGTCTTGGCTCGGCACTTGTGGCTCAAATGGCTAAGGTGCCAGCCACATACACTTAAGGTGGCAGGTTCGAATCCAGCCGGGGCCGCCAAACAACAATGATGGCTGCAACCAAAAAATAGCCAGGCGTTGTGGCAGGCACCTGTGGTCCCAGCTACTTGGGAGGCTGAGGCAGGAGACT